ATTAGCCTGTGGGTGGTAACTAGTGGTTAGATTTGACTTAGCCCGCAGCAAGTCGCACACCTTCTGAAAGATGCCCGAGGTAAACTTTGTCCCTTGATCACTTACAATGACCCGGGGACATCCATGAGTACCAACTTATTGTAACAGGGCTTCACAAACTGTCTCTGCGCGTTTATCGGGGATGGGTATATAGGTCGCAAAACGTGAATAGTGATCGACGATGAAAACAACGTATCTGTTTCCCCGGTATGAACGTATTGACATGTCAGTTAGATCGATCGATACCCGTTCCAAGGGCTGAGAGGCTGGTGGGAACTCCTGCAGCTCTCCCTGTCTCTTTGGGGTACCCTTCCTTAATTGACATGGCAGACATCCTTTGACAAATGCCCGTAACTTTCCGCGCTAGATTGGGCATGAAAAACATAGAGTGTGCTCGTGCATATGTGCGACATTCGCCCGGGTGGGCTGCGAATTGGGAAGAGTGAGCCACTTCTAGGGCCGAGTTTTCCAAGGATGCGGGGATGACTACGAGTTCTGTGGGTTGTTCATCATCCTGTTTCATAGTAATAAGATACAGGACTCCGCTTAAAAGACTGAAATCACAAAGTGAGGCTTTGTTGACCTTCTTGGGGAGCGGACCCCCCTCAAGGAAATCAATGCCAGGACCCCACTGTGGGTCTTCGAGTTGGTGTTGGCGCACCTCGTTAGGTGATAGGTCCCCAAAAATGGGCTGAGTCATGCTGCTAGGATTCCCGACATTATTTATAGGTAATACATTACGGCTCAGTGCGTCTGGTACTACGTGGTTCTTGCCTGGCTTATGCAAAATGGAGAAGTTATACGCATTTAGAAAGACTGCCCAGCGTGCTACCCGTGCATTAGGAGTTTTACCTTGGAAGATATATATTAAAGGACGGTGATCAGTGATTACATAAAAGTGTCTACCAAATAGGTAAGCATCAAAGGAAGTTACGGCCTTGACAATAGCCAAGGCTTCTTTCTCAGTTGTGGAGTAGCGGAGGGCAGCTCCGCTCAATTTCTGGGAAAAATAAGCAATAGGGATGGGGTTATCTTCACCACCTTGCATGAGACAGGCTCCCAGTGCTTCGTCGGAAGCGTCAGTGTGCACGTAAAACGGCTGCGTGAAGTCCGGCAGTGCTAACATTGTTGCCGACTTCAATAAGTCCTCAAGATGGTTAAAAGCTTTATCTGCCTCCCCCGACCACCGAAACTGAACCGACTTCTTTGTAAGTTTCGTAAGGGGGAGGGCCGCCTCTGAAAAGTGAGGGATGTGACGCCTGAAAAAATTGGCGGTGCCGAGGAACTGTTTCACACCCCTGGCTGTGGTGGGGGGTGGCATCTCTGCTATCGCTTTCACTTTCACCGGGTCGGGTCTAACGCCGCCATGACCTACGATGAATCCCAGGAATTTAACTTCCTGGCGCGCGAACGCGCATTTCCTAAGGGACACTTTCAGTCCGGCCGCTTTCATAACCGAGAGAACCTCATCTACATCCCGCATGTGAGAATCCATGTTTTTACTATAGACGATAACATCGTCCAGGTAAGCCATAGCGTTCCGCCCAAGCACGGGTGTGAGACTGTGGTTCACAGCCCTCATGAACGTGGCCGGTGCTCCCTTTAGCCCGAAAGGTAACCTGTTGAAACAAAATAGACGGCTGCCGTCCGCGAAAGCAGTTTTGGGGCGGTCAGCCGGGTCAACAGGTATACTCCAGTACGCATCCTTACAGTCTAGAACTGTGAATATAGAAGCTCCGTTCAATTGGTCCAGTGTCTCGTCAATTCTGGGCAAGGGATAGCTATCATCAATGGTGTCCCTATTAAGTTCCCTATAGTCTACTCAGAATCTAGTTGACCCGTCCTTTTTTCTGACTAATACGACCGGGGAGCAATAGGGGCTAGTGCAAGGGGAGATGACGCCACGTTCCTCCATTTGGCGACATAAGTCCCTAATTTGAGTTTTAGCCGCCTCAGGAAGCCGCCACTGCCGTACTCTGGTGGGGGGGGGCGGAGCCTGTATTAATTTTGTGTGAAGCTGACATCAGGCCGAGGTCCTGATCTGAAGTTGCAAACAGATCTTCATGCTGGTTTATTATAGAGCGTAGACGTTCTCTAATAAGGGTGGGTAGGTGATCTATGTCAAGGGATTCTATTGCAGTGGCGAACATTTGCTGTGACTCTACGAATTCTGTGTCACTCCTAATGTTATATCTCGTAGAATCAAAATGCTCCAGATCCTCTACTTTATCGACCGCACAGACTGTTCCCACTGAATGACCAGGAGTAAGTTTAAATTCCCTGGGGGTGGGGTTTATGACTGGGACGCTAGGCTGCTGAGTGTTAATGAGCCCCGACTGCACGTATGGGGATATTTTATGAGGGATTTCAACAAATACATACTCCTGATCCTCCGTGGAACTGTCGAACGACCTTGACCATCGAACGGGCAGAACAACACTAGAATGGGGAGGGATGACAGTGGCGCGCGTAGGGTGTAGCTGGGGGGCTTGGGGTGCGGGGGACTGGGGGCGTTTAGGCTTAATGAGGTGGACAGGCAGACCAGACCTATTCCTAATAGGAGTACCTGCATAATCTCTACCATCTAGTGTCACGGTATACCGGCTCCCATCAAACTGGATTCCATACTTAAACCTACACAAGAAATCTGACCCAATAAGAACATCCCCTGGGAAAAGATCACCGCTTACCACAACCAGCGCGTGAACAACTATCTTATCTCCTAAGTCTACAGTTATATCTCTGGAATCCAATGTTGAGAGGCGGTTCCCCGTGACGCCACATAACTCAGGAACTTTGTGCTTTCCCCCTAGGCTCATCTTGGAGGCCACGTTCTGTTTCACCAAGAACACCGAGGAGCCTGTGTCAATGAAAGCTTCAACCCCTTTCCCTCCCATTTTCAACTTAATAATTGGCCTGTCTTCCCTAGTCACCATCAACGCCTCGCCCTTGTCTTTAGTAGTAGGGACATAACCTGCGAATGTGTCCCCACTCGGCACATGCGTAACAACGCATTCCGGTGTATGGACACTCTCTGCGGGTATGTCCCTGGTCGCCACACCCATCGCACTGGTTTCCCTCACATTGGAAGGGACATCCGTGCACCGCGTGGGACCATGCCCCACAGGAGGAGCAGCGAAAAGGCTTCGGGGCTCTATACCAGCTATCCCGCATGGGCGGGCCCGGGCGCGCACTTGTGACTGCACGGGGGCGGGGGTCAATCCCAGCCCGCGCCCCGCGGGTCCCTGCCCCGGACGGCCGGCCGCCCCGTGGCGCATTACCCAACGTGTTTATACCTACTGTATCTAACCCTGATTGCTCCCGCCCTTCCTCGTGGAACGATGACTGTTCCTGTCGCTTCCTTTCGTCCCTGCTGAGATTCTCCACCATCAGTCTCAAGAATTCATCCTCCCAGACAGAAGGGGTGTTACGTGTAGGGGTGGGAGGGGCGGCGTGAATTGTCGACACAAAACGGGAGGGGGGGGGGGGTTTCCTGAGCTGTATTTACGTCCGCGCTGCTTTAATTGCGTTCTCGATCGTAGTTATCCCGCTCGCCACCATGTACGTACGCATCTCGCCGAGTAAGCCCGACAGAAAGTAAGAGAGTACTAGCTCAGGTGGGAAGAATTGTGGGTGATTCACTCTCGCCATCTTCACAGCACTACCTATGCATGATAGGTAAACATTTAGTGATGAACACTCCTCTAGCTGAATATTGAGGTGAAGGACTGCGCGATGTTGTGGGGGCTGGAGCGTCGTGGCCGGCCTGGTCATCCATCTCTGGGGGACTATCATCCGCTTGACTCATCCAGGCGCTGGGTCCACGGCTACGTAAGGCATGAGACATAACTACTTCATCTGTGTACCGTGTCTTAAATCAGTGTTGACCGGTCAGCCCGTCGTATCGACAAGATTTCAGACAAAAAAAAAATTAATTAAATACACAGATAAGTAGCTTATATATATAAAATATATATAAGGAAGCCGCGCGGTCAGCGAGTGTTAGTACATGTATGTGTGTGTGTGTGTGTCCCGGGCAGGCAGAGCGTCTCGCCCCAGCTGTGAGGGGGGGTGGAGGCGGCGCTGTAAGGGGGGGGGGAAGACAGCGAGGAGCTCAGTCACCCTCTGGAAACGGGCAGAGAAGGGTGCGCTGAACTCTACTCCCCACAAATGCCCAGAACATACCGTATACCTTGGAAATCCTTTAAAACAAGGTCACACATGAATGGCACGAAACACACAATGCACTAAACACTTCACAGAAAATCACTGTCACTGACACTGCTCAAAGTTGCTAAATTCTTCGAGGATGGATGGCGGCGGTTGACACAGGGCAGGAGTCCATAAGCCGGCTTTCACAAACTTGCACTATCACTCGTAATCATCCAGTAAAACTACGCACTGCGCCATGTTAGGTTCTATATAATGAGTTCTATATACAGGAGAGAACACAAACACCTGTATAGTTTTGTAGGTTCGGTTTACTGGATAAGAGTATGTACACAAAGGGAGGTAGCACTCCTCAGCTAGGCTCCTTGTCAACTGCTATAGACGACGTATGGCAAGTGATACATTAGCAGCTTCCATACGTCGCCAGGCACATTAATTAAGCATGTGGGATATCTTACATACATTGCCACACACTGCTAGCTAGGCTGAATAAATAATACATAAATGGAGCACATACATAATATACATACATAATATATAATCCAGCATACATAATATACATACAATAAGCACATTCCCATGACAGAGGTAATAAAAAAGAGAGTGAGAGAGTTATCCTACACAGGTAACTGGCCTTCTTCCCTCGACATTACCACCTCTAGTTTCGGTGGCCATTAAGTAAACTAAGATATAAAAAAAAGATATAACAATAACCAAAGGTCTATATGTGACAAGAAAGACGAAATATATAATATGTGAGGCAGTGTTGATTCCATTATTAATGTATGGGTTTGAATCTACACTCCTGGCAAAAACAATATACTTTATCCACTGTGTTCGGAGATTGGAGAAAAGAGAGAAGAGAAAGAATAAGAAACGCCAAAATGAGGGTGTAAACCTGATCGAAGAATCTACAATGAGATGACTTGGATACCTTGAGAGAGAGAGAGAGAGAGAGAGAGAGAGAGAGAGAAAACAAGATGAAAAAAAACAATGTAAGTGAATCCAGGAGAGACAAGAAAAAAAAGAGTTGGGAGATAGCTAAAACTACGTATCTTACAACATTTAGAAGACTAAAGAGAAGGGAGAACTCCTGTGGACATGGATGGATGGAAAAGATGCTTTTTCTTTTGACTACCATGTTTAGTTCTTTGATCCAGTCTGTCAAGATTTTCCCCAAAACTAACAGACTTAAGCAATATTTGAATCAATTTTATGCGATATTTTATCATCCATAGAAAGGTGTATCAATAACAACGTATAGTGATAAAGATACAATATTTGGAGATGGAATGTAGTGTGTTTAAAGTTATGGTGTATGAGTAGTGACCGGCCCACTGAGTGTGTTGTGTTGAGGTGTAATCGTGACCATACAACTCGTAAACCACATTTAGATGACCGTGTTGCAGGGCACAACTCACACAGGATTCATGTTGCAACATTTACAGCCACAGACCGCTATTGACTTCCTATTTTGTGCCCAGAGAGCGTGATGGTGTGCTACATGGCGTCTTGGGCTGTGTATCGCCAGGGGCCCGGTATGTTCGATGTAGAAGACGTTGATCCCAACATCTGCACTCACCTTATTTTTGCCTTTGCTGGTATCACCACTACAGGAGAGATAAACGTGAGTAAAGATGGGTAACCTATGGGGTAATAGTCGTTGTTAATTATATATATTAAATAACAACTTTTACCTGCTGTTATACCGAGGCATAATTCCGAATTATACTTTTGTTAAATAGGTATTTTGATTGTTTTCAGCAACAGTCATTTTGGCAAATTTAGTGAAATTTTCGTGTATATTTTGATGATGTTGAAGTATTAATTATGTAAGAATATTCTAGAATGTATTGCATCATTTTTGATATGATTGTAAGCTTCTGTCAGAGTAGAACGTTGTACATGTAGAATCTCACAGGCATCTCTGGGATATTCTAGGATGTTCGACAAGCATCTGACGCCTCGTACATAAGCAGGCACGGGCTCCATCCATTTTCCAACCCTATATCACAAGTGAAATTAAGATAATGATAAAAGAAAAATACAAAATCCAAAGGAAATTTGCAAAAAAATCCATAACTTTCGGTGATGCTTACCGAAATATCATAAATAGAGTAACTCAAGCAGTTAGAAATGCCAGACGTAGCTATTATACAAATAAGCTCCAGTCAGCATCAGGCGAAAGTAAGAAAACCTGGAATGTCATAAATTCTATTCAGAACAGGAACACTCAGCCTTCGGCCCCCCCACTCAGCTTTTATGATAAATGATTCGGGCGTAACGGAACCCTCCCTCATTGCCAACCACTTCAATGAATATTATATTAATGTTGGCAAAAATCTTGCAGAGAGCATCCCTGATCACCATGAGGAATTTAGAGCCTACCTGCAAAACACACAGCAAACTGCTGTACCAGCAGGCAAAGACAATATACCAATGAGCATCATTAAGAAAGTAGCCCACTAATTACTACCTTTTCTCCTACACATTTGTAACTCCTCCTTCACTAGTAGTGTCTTTCCTGATAAACTGAAAATTGCTAAAGTTCACCCTGCATATAAAAAATCTGGGGACAAAGGCCTTTTCAAGAATTACCGCCCCATATCAGTCCTCCCAGCCTCGAGTAAGATACTGGAGAAGCTAGCATGTAGTAGACTAAATTCCTTCTGCAATGCCAATAACATCTTTACAGACTTCCAATTTGGATTTAGAGCTAGAAGGTCGACTGAGAGTGCTCTGCTATCCTTTACTAATGACATCTTAAACTCCGTTCATGACAGTCAGTTCACAGTCGGTATATTCTTGGACCTCTCTAAAGCCTTCGATACTGTCGACCATACCATCCTCCTTTCAAAGCTTGAACATTACGGCATTAGGGGGCCTATCCCACAATTGGTTTACCTCATATCTGACCAAGAGGATGCAGTATGTCTGTTATAATAATCACCAATCTGACTCCTCGCCAATCTTGTATGGGGACCCCCAAAGGTTCCATTCTCGGTCCAGTACTGTTTTTCTTGTACATAAACGATAGAGTCCACGCCAGCTCACTCAAAAAATACAACTTATTTGCAGACGATAGTAATCTCTATGTCATGAACTCAGACCTCCATTCCTTGATGAGAACTATGAACACTGAATTGACTAAAGTCAAGATCTGGGTAGTACGTAATAAACTGACCTTAAACCTCGAAAAAAAAAACACTACACGATCTTTCATAGAAGGAAAATTTACCCCAGACTTGGACCCCCTGTACCTTGGTATTACAGTCCTCAAACGCGAACAAAATACAAATTTCCTCGGAGTTATTGTTGATGAGAAATTTAACTGTAGAAACCATATACAAGCCATTCATAGTAAAGTCAATGAACAGTGCGGTATTATGTATCACACTCGACAGTCACTCACTCTCACAACAATAAAAGAAATTTATCATGATCTTGTTTCCCAACACCTGATACGCTGTCACATACTATGGGGGGGGCCTCTGGCTCTTCAAAAACACAATCCCTGTTTACTGCATAAAAGAGAGTTGTACCGACAATGACCTACTTGAAACTAAAACAGATCACACAAACGAACAATTTGCTAAATTGAAAATGTTAAAATTCGAGGATATTAACACCTACTGCTGTGCCCTCTTTGTTTACAAATCTATCAATCACTTGCTTGACAACAATTATTTCCAGTTCCAGAATAATCAGAGATATTACTTAAGGCACCAAGAGCTACTAAGACCACCCCCCACGCGCTCCTCTCATTCCCAGACCTCCATAAAATATCATGGTGTGAAGTTGTGGAACAACTTACCCCCACCCATCAGAGCAAAGACTACGCTCCCTTCCTTTAAATCATCTCTTAAAAATTATCTGTTGTCTACGTATGAATATTTTTTGTAATACCTACTATATATACTTGCTTTTATTGTACCATCAAAACCGTTTTATCAAAATTATCATGTAGATAATCAAGAAATTAAAATTGCAATAAATACATTTGCCACATAATCCTGACAGCTCTGTCCTCTTGTTCAACCTATGTTGTACTATGTTGTACTGCTTTCCCCATTATATTTATGCTCTTCAATTCCACTATAACTTATGTATAGACTTATAATATAAAAGCAAAAAAAAAAATGAAAGTAAACAAAATAAATAAATAAAATAAATAAATATCGAAGTGTTAACTGTGGTAACATAATGATATGTTCTTATTACCACCATGCTGTGTGTACTATTCCAGACGATACTAAATGTTACAAAATACTTCCTTGAGATAAATGTACAGTATATATCAACTGCCTACAGGAGAGCTCAGGCTCTCAACTGGCTCAGCCATGTTAATATTGTTATTATTATCCACTCTGTATCCGTGTTTTTTGGGGGGCTAAATAAACTGTTTCAATTCAATTCAAAGTCCCTAGGAGTTAGTTGGTCCGCCGCCTCTGTTCCGAGTGAAAAAAGACTGAGACTAGCAGAACGACTGAAGACAATTGCTCTGCGAGTATTGTGGAATTGTTGTGATTAATACAAAGTGAAAAGACTAAGGAAATGTTAACTGGTAGTGTGCTGACTATATATTCGAAGTGTGGGGTTAAGCTGTGAAGACATTGCCCTGTCAACAGTGTTGTGAAGAATTACTGTTTTTTTAAAAAAGACTACATTACACAAGCGTGTTTCTGTGACCTGGTGGAAATCTACCTGCCTGTTGTTTGTCTGTACACTGATACCGATCGTCGGGTAATTACCGGAGACTGGCGGGACAGCCGGTGGTATTTCGACAACTCTTGTAAGATATCTACTGCTTCTGTACATATCACCCTGGCCACTGGTAACCAATAGTGGAGGCTGGGTAAGCGGTGAAAGGAGGATCGTAACAATATTTTGTATTAGACTAAGATTTTTTGGGGGCTATTCATATATCTATTGTGTAATACACACCAGTGGTGGTCATTGACTCTTCTTTTATTTACCGAAAAAAAGGAGTTTACTAAAACACTTTAATTTTCAGGTGCTCGACCCGCATCATGAACTCTGTGACAACGGCGGAGAGTGTGCCTACAATAGGTTCACTGCCCTTAAGAAGCAAAACCCTGAGTTGAAAACACTTCTAGGCGTCGGGGGCTGGGAGGACGGCTCTGAGAAATACTCTAAGGTCAGTTAAATAGAAAGCACCTGATTCTACAAACCATTACCTGTCTCTGCATTAGAAATTGTAATGTAACTGGAAGAATATCTTACTGTCGTCTTACCTACACAGATGGCTGCGGATCCTTCCATGAGGAAGATTTTCATAGACACTTCCATAGCACTCCTGAAGGAACACAACTTCGATGGAATAGACTTGGACTGGGAGTACCCAACCATGCGTGGTGGGATACCTGAAGACAAGGTATGCTTTGCTAAAAGTATTTGATTCCTAAACTACCGAGGCCAAAGATAGAAAGGGCTGTTCATGGGACTATAGAGAGACTCATATTACTTCCGGGTTCGAGGGATTTTAAGAAAATACAAACACTTTGTGTCCAAGAATCGAACGAATTCAATTAACTATATGATCCGATTTAAAGTGTCTACGATTTGGCAGCTACTTTTATTTCACTGCGTGTTTATAAGACAGTATCAGTACTAAACAATGGCTATTCAAGCTCAAGAATATTCATTTTTGAGAAATGAGGATGTTTAGCTATATACAGCATAGTTAAATAAATAATTCACGAACAGAATGAACTGCAAAATAAATATTTTACTGATATATTTTTGAGTCCAATGATCAAAAGTTAGGGTCACATTTTTGTGAAAGGCACATAAACCAATATTTGTAGTCTAATTCTCTGGAAGATTCTTAGGTTTTAGGTTTTAGGTAGTAGGTAGTAGGCAGCTACCAAACAAGGAGGTACTACCTCCTGAGAAGATATTGAAACCATAATGTGTTGTCTATTGGTAAACCCAGCTGCCATATAGCATCACAAAAATTGTTTCAATGTATGAGGTTGCTATCTGACTTTCTGCCTCATTTACACACACAATTGCAGGGTCTCACTATTGTTTCCCTTACAGAACTTTAAAAACACAACATATAATTTTTTTTTCACTCTTGACCTGTTTTATATTGTAATTTTTTTTTATTCTCCTAATATATCATATGACAATACTATTGAATCGGGCCTTCTCAGATGGGTCCCACTGGTCAGGATGGTTATGGACCACAGGGCAGAACTGACTATCATCAAACTACAGGGGCCTCAACTGACGTCACCGCGATTGCTGGAGGATCGGCTTTTTTCACACTTCATTTTTCCAACATTCGCGTTTTGAAATCCAATTTTTCTTCTGTGGAGCACCATCTAATAAACTTTTCCCCCAATCTCTTACTACTATCTTTACTTCAGTTGACCTAAGCAGCTTCACCCAAACCTTTTCAAGTCTTCAACTACAACTTTTATACCTTTTTCCGTCCTAAGGAAGGTGTCTGCGCCTACTGCAACACACGGACGCCTATAGCTCGACTCACGGATTTGGAATCTTCTCTTTATGATGTCATCTGGCTCAAAATATCTCTACTAACTATGACTATTTTCCTTTGTTTCCTATACTGTTCTCCCAACTATTTCGAACTGTTTGACTATCTAACTTCTTGCCATGAGTCATTGCTATCCACACACCAACACCGAAATCCTCTACCTAGGGAATTTCAATGTACATCACATTTAATGATCTGGAACAAATAATCAAACACCCTACACAATGTCACTTACACATGTTCTACATTGACACACTCAATTTGCAGACATTCTTGATTTTTGTTTTACGTCTAACCCCTCACACTATTCAACTTAATTTCCGGGGCACAACCACCTCCCCCACTCCTCTCTAAGCGCCAACTATGGCACTATCGGAGGGTACACTAGCAATCCTTGCGAGAAATTTTCTCCGACTTTCCCTGGGATGGGTATTGCTTTTTCACTCGGGACGCCTCGTTATGTCCTGACTGCATTGCTGGGTGGTATGAGTGCATTAATCCCATGTTCTACCAAAACTTTCACTTTACAATCATGGTTTGAGTGCTCTTGTTCTCTTGCATGTATGGAGAGAGATGCGGCATATCAAGCTATGAAACTATTTCCTGTTACTCACTCCTCTTTCATTACTTCTAGGAATCGTAGGGTGAACCGGAATTTAAAAAACAAGAAAAAGTCCGCAGACCTAACTAACTCTACTTCTAATAAATCCTTCTGCACTACGTCTATTCCTTTTCTTTTCCGAACTGATATCGGTGCCAACTCTCCCTCTGATAAAGTCAATCTCTTTGGGACCTTTTTCTCCTCTAACTCTATCTTAGACGATTCCAGCTCTACCACATCCACTCCTGCTCCTCCTTCTGAACCCATGCACTTTCCTATAATCTCAAATCGTAGGATTGCTGGTGTGTTATCCAATCTGGATGTAAGGCGCATGAACCAGACGGAATACACCCTCGTGTTCTGAAGGAGTGTACTGACCCCTGTGCTTGCTCGACTCTTTCGTCTTTGCCTCAAAACCCAAACTTTTCCTTCTTCTTAGAATCATGCCTCGGTTCAGCTCATCTCGAAGAAATGTGTCCGTTCTAATCCCTCTAACTATCGCCCAATTGCCTTAACTTCAATCCTCTCTAATATTTTCGAAACTATCTTAAACTCTAATTTTCTTCGTCACCTTCAATGCCTTTCTCATTTGTCGGATCACCAGTATAGGTTTCGCCAGGCGAGATCTACTGGTGATCTGCTTTCCTACTGCACCCCTATTTGGTCATCCCCTATTCGGGATTATGGGAAAACTTTCGTCGTGGCAGTTGTTTTCGAGGAATCGATCTCTCGCTCTTTCTCTACCAATAGTGGTGTTCCACACGGGTCTGTTCTTTCACCTACTAATTCTATTCTACTCTTCATTCTTCCTCTCACATGTTCCTTCCCCCTAACTCTCAAACTATATTTGTTTTTAGAGCTAAAATCGTTTAATTTTACCAAATTTTAAAATAGATATGCTAGGCCTCACCATTTCATCTAATATATCATGGAAGCCACACATCCACAACATTGTTACAGTAAAGTTGCCTCCCGAAAGCTGGGAATGCTGTACGGATGCGGTAGCTACTTCACTCCTGAGCAGCTGCTTCAAGTTTACAAGGGTTTCATTCGTCCTAACTTGGAGTACTGTTTTCATATCTGGGGTGGTTCTTCTTCTGTCCAACTGTTAGATAGGGTGGAATCAAAGGCATTTCGTCTTATTAACTCTCCTACTTTAGTTGATAATCTCTCTTCCTTTTCTCTTCGCCGCAATGTTGCTTCACTCTCTCTCTCTCTTACAGATACTTTAACGGGCAATGTTCCGTGGAGTTGGCATCCTGTGTACCGTTGGCAAGGCAATGGGCCCGTAACACTCGTCCTGCCCGCGGTGCCCACCGTTTCTGTGTGGATGTCGGTCACGCTAGAATAACCCGTTATAGTACATCCTTCTTTCCTCACACATCCAAACTGTTGAATGCTCTGTCTTCTTCTGTGTTTCCTTACTCTTACAATCTGTCTCACCTTAAAAAGCTGATTTTCCGGCATCTTCGTGGTGTAGATAAATATATTTTTTTCTTTTAATTTTTTATTTATTTTTACTCTTTTTTTTTTGCACCACCCCGTCTCCCCAGGCCCCATTGTGGGTCGATAACCTGTGTCCGGGTGGCGTGATTTTTTTTCCTGAGGGCTTCCATCATTTTGAACAAGCGGCACCATCACAGTGTTTGAAGCGCGGCACCACTGTACATTCTGTAAGAAAGAGAGAATAAGAGATGATCATTCATGCTTGGCTTAATATTGATGTAATAGATACTAATACAAACAAATAATAACCTAACCTAACTTAACCTAACCTAACTTAACCTAACCTAACTTAGCCAACACGGCCAAGATAGAACGAATTATTGCTGCCACCAGTTGATTGTACAGTGGTGCCGCGCTTCAAATACTGCGACGGTGCCGCTTGTTCAAATGACAGAAGCCCTGAGGAAAAAAAAAATTCGCGCCCGGGTGGGATATTCCCAGAAAAAAAAATATAAGATTGGATGGAAATCAGTTGATAAACAAACACAAATATTGTAGTTCCTAAGACAAGACAAGTGACGTTCGACTTTGTTCTTGCAGTGACACTTTGGCAGGAAAAACAATAATTTGCAACAATCATCTTATTAAGTGTATCCCTCACCTTCTATCTATCATTGAGTAATTAAGAAAGATAATTTACATGGCTGAGTTATATAAGGGATATGTTATCAATTATTTTTTGGTGCACTTAAAGCTGTCATATGAATTGGAATAGTGGCAAAGATTCATATATGTGTATTATGTTTAGGTTTATTATGAGGCTTTGGTGGTGTTTATTATGAGGCTTTGGTGGTGTTTATTATGAGGCTTTGGTGGTGTTTATTATGAGGCTTTGGTGGTGTTTATTATGAGGCTTTGGTGGTGTTTATTATGAGGCTTTGGTGGTGTTTATTATGAGGCTTTGGTGGTGTTTATTATGAGGCTTTGGTGGTGTTTATTATGAGGCTTCGGTGGTGTTTATTATGAGGCTTTGGTGGTGTTTATTACGAGGCTTTTATGATTTTTTATTATGAGGTCTTGTTTGTATTTATTATGAGGCCTTGATATGGCGTTTGCTGTGAGGCTATGCACGTGTTTAAAGTGAGGCTGTGATAGTCCCAGTACAAACATAATTGGTTCACCTTCAGGAGAATTATGTGATCTTACTGAGTGAAATACACGACGCGCTACACGCCGAGGGGATGATCCTGACAGCTGCCGTATCATCAGCCAAAGACAAAATTGATTTTGGTTATGACGTGCCGGGGATAGCCATGTACGTAGACCTGTTGAACCTCATGACCTACGACCTGCACGGTTCTTGGAATGACTACGTTCACCACCAGTCAGGGCTCTACCCTACTATAAGGACACCGGCGGTAACAAAGACCTCAACGTTGTAAGTATATTATTACTTCTCTTGTGGAATTGTACTGTCAGGAGTGGCGCTTATTAAGTCAGTATCATTTTGTGTGGCGAATATTTATATAAAGAATTACTATTGTTACTAATAATTTTCAGTTGAAAATAATAATAATAAGAAGAAAAAAAGAAGAAGAAGAAGAAGAAGAAGTGTGTGCGTGTGTATGTGTGTAACTGATGAGGATTTTTACTGGTGTTGATTAATGCAGTAGAAGGGCCCCTCAGAATGCCAAAACAGCACAAACAAAATAAATATATTTACCTGAGTTAATTACCGTGACCTGGACTGGTGTTCCTGAGGTTGGGGTTCAAGAGATGCACAGGTAATGGACACTTGTATTAATCATCAGTAACATCCTTACAGCAGTAGAAAGTTATTAATTACATAGGGCAATAGTTCATTTGAATTAATCCCTCAACTCATCTTACATCGCTAGTTACCAATATTATCAGTGTAGGGAATATGACACCGGTCCCAATGTGAGTTCTTAATGACCCAATAATTACCCAAGACTCATGTACGTCCCTGTTTGGACCGTGAGTTACAACAAAATGGGTGACATGACCTCCCCAGTTCAAGAATTGATGAGGTCAAGGATCGCGCCTCCCCGAGTTTAAGCCCACAACCTGTGATGGATCCTAAACCTCAGCAGTCCCTGAGCAAATATATTCATAAAATAGTATACTGGTCTGAAACCCCACAAAACAATCATCAAATGCCATAACGACCTGATATCATGACTTGTCAGGGGTGGAGAGGGGGGGGGGGTCGGGTCACCAACTGATTCTTTGTACTTTATTCCTGAGTTCATAAGTTATGCGTGCTTCCTCCGCCATACCTGTAACCGTGTTCAATGAAACTGGCCCAGAATACACCATTACAATAAAATTACACCACATGCATAGCACCGAAACAATCCTTTATCACCCCCACGTCCAGAGCGTAAGATCAACCATTTGGGTCGTCGACCTCACACCAGGACTTGGTTAAACAAACCACATACAGTACACCCAAAGTTGAAGAGAATGGAAG